TGATTATTATCTTCATTGACAGCTAACTTCATCTTGGAGCAGTTACACTCACAAAACACTTCTCTTTTGTAAACCACTTTATGTCTTACCAACTAACTCCAAATCATTAAAAGCCATTAAATACACTAAGTATACGTAAATTGTCACTTGAAAAACACTGATTTTCTTGTTAGTACCGACGGGGTCAATTGCAAGAACGGTTATGGGGTGTACGACGCCGTTTACGATGACCTTCTTGCCCTGGTCTTTTTCAGCAATATCGCCTTTAACACATGGAATTCTGCACTTTTCGAAGCTTTGGAGGAGTCTCGAAACAAGTTTCCTGGTGGGAATTATTAGCTAGTGCTGTACTCAAAATATCGAAACTTCGAGATCTCTCCAGAGCTTCAAAACAGTGGTATTCCTGAAACAAGATCAGGGCAAGAAGGTCATCGTAAACGGCGTCGTACACCCAACGACTGTTCTTGCAATTGGCCCACGGTGTATTGTGTATCACGACCTCTCAAAATGGCGTGACTGTATTTTTTGATGACATCACCAGTATTACCCATTTAGAAATTCTGGGCTTAGTAAAAGTTTATATATATATATATATATATATATATATATATATATATATATATATATATATATATATATATATATATATATATATATATATATATATATATATATATATATATATATATATATATATATATATATATATATCTCATTTGACTAAAATAAAAGTTCACCTTAATTCTTAATACTACTCTCAGGTGCTTCACGACTAGGCTGTGACCTTCAACACGGTGCAATACGATCTTACTACAATATCTGTGTTCAGGTCCTCCTTGCAGCCCTGGCCATCGTCACGCCTCAGCACAGGATCCTCATTGTCTCCACACACTCACCTTCCCCCTCATTATCATTAAAAACACTGCAGGTTAAATAATCTATTGTACTCTATCATTAATAAGCTTGTTATGGCGTCATTACAAACAGTCCTTGGTATTCTACAGCCCGTCATCAACACCGTGTGTGTGTAATATGTCAGGCTGGGGGCTAATTTTGTTGTACCCGCCATTGTGTTTCGTGTAATGTTAAAACAAGAGGCCAAGTCCAGGGTGGAGGCCCTTAACGGTACACCATTAGCGCACTGAATCCTTATAATATCCTTCTTGTATACACAGTTTTATTAAATCTAATAATCTAGAATATTACTATAATATTAAAGAACGTTGCTTGTGATAATGCAGAAAGCTACATCAATGTTATTGTCAAATCTGCTCATAGTTACGACATAATGTAAAGCACTTCAGGATTGGTTAAGGTAATGTGAATTATTGTTTGATTATGAAGAAAAGGTTTTTTTCTTATTCAATTAATAGCATGTATTTGCCGCAGAACAAATACGATACCTCCTTGGTCATCACTGAAAAAAAAATAAACATTAGAAAGATACAGTGAATGAATGGTAGTGGATCATTGTTGGTTATATTTTGAATTCTAAAATAAAAATACTTATTAAAGACAATTACCCGACAATTATGACTTCATTATTTAAAGTAATACACGACCTTACCGCAAGTGAGTGACACCTGTAACACTTCCACCAAGCCTCATGATGGTGGGGCCAATGTGGTCCACAGGAGGGTACCAGCAGGGCTTGTTAATCTCTTGTTTGCCTTGTCTTCTGCACACGTCACTCCTCATGAAACACATTACCATCATCCTTACCTGCCTAAAAGAATATTTTATGGTTGCATCACACTGGGGAAGCAAACTTTACCGACATTTCGAATAGGCTTCATTAATTAACTAAGTTTTCCACACTATTGATTTACGTGTGAATAAAGGGTCATTAGACACCTTAGAGTGAAACCAAATTAAAAGACTCGCTATAATGAAAATTTGTTCATGTGAATTATATTACTGGCGAATGGCGATCGATATGGACGATTAAAAGGCAGTAATGAACGTCTTGTGATGTGCGCCATTTTCCAGGGTCAATCAATTCATAGCCGTCAATGAGAATAGTTATTAAAAAAAGGATATCTAGTCATATTAACTTAAAATAAACAATAACTTATCTTATAATCTGACCGAAATCAAGGAAAAAATAACGACTGAAGAACAGCAACGCCCGGCACAGTTCTGGAATATAACGTTACTTGTGGTGGAAACATTGGTCGTGGTGCACAAATTTTCAAGTTCAAAGCAGTGAAAAAAATTTAACTTTGGTGCAACTCATAATCAGGTAACTATACATGACAGTAGAACATAAATTGAACCAAGAAAACAGGAGCACTTATTTTCTAACTAGTAATAACTTAGCGATGGCAGCAAGGGTGTTTTGATGTATTCCAAGGAGACTAATTAAAAAGTGTTAGTAATGGAGGAATTCAAGTTAATAATAAAACAACATTAACTATTCGATAAGCAAATGATACTGGTCTTATTACAATTAGTGAGGGAACACTACAAAAACTGGTAAACACAGAGGTAAAAGATGAAGAATATGGACTTAGGGTCAATGCTGTAAAGACACGTACGTTATGGTGATTTCCAAACAGAAAGTAATCCCAAAAATATAAATTGTTAGTCGGTAGATTTATTTAATTTTATTTTGGCCACCAATATAAGAATAGATCAAGTAAAAAGTGGATTTAATAGTTAGAGATCTGTTAAAAGTGGTGATAATTATTAGTGTGAGGAAAGGAGACTTTAATGTTATATACAGCTAGTAGTATTTTGTAGGTCAGAAGCGCACTGAGGAAGTACCTGGCTATAGAGTACTAGTTAATGTACAGTATATGCTCACCCTTCGTATACCAAAGTACTGTATATAATAAATAAATATAAATATTACTTCTTGGTCTACCAACAGCAGTGAAACCTTGGCAAGTTGGTTGTTAGTATCAATATAAGCTGTGTGTGCCAGAGACCTATGGTCATAAACACGGATATAAATCACTCAGAAGATTAATACTTCCTGAATGTAATGAGACCTCAAATTGAGGCCAATGATCGCTACTCTGCAGTTCAACACTTGCTGGGTCCTCACCTCGGAGGCCAACCAGGAGACCGTGACGCACGATGCAAAGTCAATGCTGGAAAAATTTAACCGTTCTTGTATTTTTATTCATATAAACTTGTAATAGTTACCGATATTTTGTTGGATTAATTTACTTTATTTTGTGTATAAGATTCTATTGGATATCTGCAGGGTTGTGAGTTTCGTCTTCATTTGTAATTAATATATGAGAATAAAATGAACCAGTGGATTTGTTTTAGCTGCGTCAATCAGGTAATAAGAATCTTCAAACCTCACTGATTCACTGATCGGCAAAGAGTCTGTAGCAGAATATGATAGGCTTCGTACTGTCCTACATGTAGGTTGTCAAGGGCAATAAGCCTGATGAACAGCCTCCGCTCTCATCCTCGAGTCCTAAACCAATGTACTGACTGACATGTTCTACCTTCTTCACACTTGCATTGTTTGTTAGCAACTTATAAACACTTGGTATCTGATCCATGATCCTAGCACCGTAATGTAAGGTAAAGATAGATGCCTCAACGAGACAGGACATTTATTTATTCAGTTTTTCAATAGTTTTGTTGAAAATCTTCCCGTACATTACGTTCGAAGATTTTAAATATACTGCATTGGCGTGGCTTAGTGATAACATTCACATTATTTCACCAACAGATGTAATCATACTTAATTGATGAGGTGATGATACATAATGAAGTAACATAAAAATAAAAACTTACAAAAATATTTCTCAAGTTTTGCCTTGAACAAATTTACAAAGATGCTTTAATTAAATGACAGGCGGTGGTGTGTTAACAATGAGACAGAACATCATTGACTGCCGTGTGACATTATATAAGACACTGACAGTTTCTTCTTTAGCTTATAGAACCAACCAGCCTCTGCCATGTGTGTCAACAGCTGCTGCCATATGGGTCACGGCCTCACGGGTGCCTTACGAGTGTCATTCATAAAGTGCCAGGCTGAATTTCCTCCGTCTGTGTATCCCAGCATTTCGAATCTAACCTAACCTAACCTAACCTAACCTAACCTAATCAAACACGCAACACACTAGATTGTAATGCAATATCGCTTGATCTGTTGTTATATTTTGAATATAATTGATATGATTTCATCTGACTGACATATACCGTTCACTGAATATATTTAATGTAATGTCGAGGTTTAAAAGACTTACGTGTCCCTAGGTTAGGTTAGACTAGCTTAGATTAGGTTAGATTATGCTGCTTTAGGTTAGACTAGGGCTGCGTTAAGTTAGGTAAGGGCTGCGTTGGGGTAGGTAGGGCTGCGTTAGGTTAGGTAGGGGCTGCGTTAGGTTAGGTAGGGGCTGCGTTAGGTTTGGATAAGCTGAGTTAGGTTAGATAAGGGCTACGTTAGATTAGGTTAGGTGTCTTTCTGTGACTTTACCCGCGACTTTTTTCCCTCGATTCGTGGTTGCTCGACATAGTTCGTCTGGAGTCTGAGTGAATCTTATTACCTCTCACTCAGCGCAGTGACCGCCTGTGATTCTTGGCTCCCGCTGCTGAGTAAATACCTGACCAAATGAGATAACACTAGACTGTCGGGATAGAAAATGAAGCGCATTTTCATTACTTACTTTGATGTTTAAATTCGAAAGAAATTGGATGTAGGAAAATCACAATACATTAAGTGCTGCAAACAGTGTCGGATTCATTGTAATATTATCCTTGTGTGTGTGTGTGTGTGTGTGTGTGTGTAACTGCGTAGATTCTCATGCGTATAAAGTGAGAGAAATACAATATTTAGGTTATAATTTTAAGCCGTTCGGGAAGTTGTCACTTTCCTGTCCCTCTGCAATATTGACATTATTTCAGGTACGACAAAATGGTGAGAAAATGTTGTGAGTATAGAAAACGACAATACAAAATGGCACGGTGGGAGGGTGTAGCGCGCCACCCACACAAATTAGGTTATAAAAGGCAAGAGACAGTCAGTGTGGTGGTTATGCTTAGTGAAGGACGGGTCATGGCTGGGTGGAAGTCAGTGGTGGCGATAGTGGCTGTGGTGGTGGTAGTGTTGGTAGTGGTGGCGGCGGTGGTGGGTGCTGTGGTACTGCTTAAAGGAGGTGGTGGTGGTCGTCTTCGAGATAGCCGCCCTTGTGTTGATTGTGATATTTTCGCCGAGAGGCTAGTTCGGGTGAGTATATATTATACTGTTTGTTTTACTGTTAATGTGTGTGTGTGACGACTGACTATTTTGAATAATTATTTTTTAGTTTAGTTTTTAATAGGAAATAGTTTTACATGGAGTGTCTACCAACCCTACCGTGGATGCAAAAGTGGTTTTTTTTTACCATTTAATCAATATTAGCTGTATTAAATAAACTAGAGACTTATCATATATGTATTGCAAGGCTGAGATATGTTATTTTTTAATAGATACATAATAAACATCTGAGCAAACCTTTTATAGACACCACTGAAGAATTCAACGAGGCTATCAGATGCGCGCTCGCCATTTTGGAATCACATGAAAATTAGTCACCCCAGTATATATAAATTGATGACTAATTACCCTAATGCTACCCTCGGTTAAGTTTAAGTTAGGAGTAATATTTCTTAGTACCTGTATAATAAATACCACAGAGCTATGGGGTTCTCACTGCCACTCATGTAACCGAAGAAAAAAATTCGAAATGCATTATAGGTAACTCTTACTAATATTTTCTTAAACTAAATTAATAATTCTTCAGGTATCATAAATGTCTTAAATTTGTTCATAAAACCACGATTAACACCTCTATTGTGAAACCTTTATAGAGTGTTGGAGTTTAAGCGACCCAATAAGACCTCCGGCAACACTCGTACGATTCCTCAAAGTTGTCGTTTTGTTTACCTATCATCGATGGCATTTTTGTCTGGATGAGCGGATGACCAGCTTAATTAACTTATTATACTATGTGACATGAATGAAAATGAAGTGTGACGAACGAAAATGAAGTGTAATATGAATGAAAATGAATGGAAGGTATAAAATCACATCTGTCGAACAAGTGATATCAACAAAAACAAATTACGTAAACAAACACCACGTACGCTTTAAACATTAGGTGAAATGGATATAGAAGGGGAGGATTAAAAAGGTGTGGATGAGGATAGAGAAGGATGAAGGCTTATCCAATGCAGTATTTACAAGGATGGAAGGCGGAACTACAAGAAAAGGATAAGGTCTATTGTCTGAGGCGGAGATAAAGGAAAGGGAGATTGGGTGGGAGGGGGGACAGAAATGAAGGAGAGGAGGCGGGGGAGGAGAGAATGAGGGAGAAGTGGGGGAGGAAGGAATGAGGTGGGGGAGAGGTTGATGGTGGGGAGAGGGAGTCAAGTTGACATTGAAATACCAGAATGCAGAAATGAATGACCGGATGATAGAGATTGACTGTTGGACTGGAGGAAATGCCACGGTGACTGTCCAGAAAGACTCGCTGACAAGGAATATACAGTACATATAGATGGGTAGATCTGGGTGTATCTGAGTAGTTCTGGGTGTATTTGGGTGGATCTGGGTGGATATTGGTGTATTAAGGTGATTATGGGTGGTTCTGGGTGTATTTGGGTGGTTCTGGGAGTATGTGGGTGGGTCTGGGATGTAATTGGGCGGTTCTGGGTGTATCTAGGTGGTTTTAGATGGCTCTTTCCGGCAGGTGTTTCAGAAGGTATCAAAGCGTGTAAAGTTCCCACTATCAATTCCCCGGTGTCTCGTTCATCTGAATTCCTAAAGCTGTTGATAATTCTCTTTCTGTAAAAGGGTAACAGGTGTAAGAGTCTCAGGGTAAAACAACACCATTTTAAGAGTTCATCATAGTTACGTCAGAGTCTCAGTGTAAAACCAACGTCATAATAGTTACGTCAAGGTCTCAGTATAAAACCAACGTCAAAATAGTTACGTCAGAGTTTCAGTATAAAACCAACGTCAAAATAGTTACGTCAGTCTCAGTATAAAACCAACGTCATAATAGTTACGTCAGAGTCTCAGTATAAAACCAACGTCAAAATAGTTACGTCAGAGTTTCAGTATAAAACCAACGTCATAATAGTTACGTCAAGGTCTCAGTATAAAACCAACGTCAAAATAGTTACGTCAGAGTTTCAGTATAAAACCAACGCCATTTTTTTCCCTCGATCTCTTTGTAGTAAGGTGAGCGAGGCAGATAATGATGCACTGTCAGGTCTCTCGTTACTACGGCGCGTGAGGTGTTTGTGAACGTCCGTGAGGCTGGGATGCTCTTATGATTTGTTTTGTTTAATATATTTTTTTTTCGTAATTGGCGATGCTATTTGTGTGTATTCTGGACGAAGGTGTTAAGCCTCTGCATCTAGACGTATTATATAGTTCCCTCTCTTACCAAACTGAAGTAGTGTCGAACTAGACGACTCAGGGTCAATCGGTTCGGAGATTCAATTATAGGAAAAGAAGGGTTGATGGTAAGACGCTACACCCTCACTCTGGAATCGGAGAATGTTTGTCCAGTCGTCTCGTGTAGGTTGGCACTTTTGGAGACAGCTACATGTCCAGGTATAAGTTGTTCCGGATGTCTATCGTACGATTCTATATGTTATGTGAAAACAATTTTAAGAATTTATTGTTCATACAAGCTACGGCACAGATATGGCAGATGAAATGAAATAGCGATGCTTCCTTTCAAAACTCATCAAGAAAATACAAACACATATCTAGTTACTGTTTCAATGTATCCTTGGTGTTGGGGAAGAAATTCGACGCAGGGAGCTGTCATGATAGTGGGCAAGGACCGAGGAGGGTATAGGATATGAAATATTCTAGACCAGCGGGTTGGCGGGCGAGGTGTGTGTCAACCGTGGCCGGATAATATCAGGATGTTGCTGCCTCTCGTTACATTGTTGTGTTTCTCTTCGTGTCTTGTCATTTGATAGAAAAAAAAAGCATCGTCTTTGTTACATAGTCTCAAAACTTGTATGTAAAGAACTCAGATGCACGTCTTTATGGATATTACTGTGTTATCAAAAATCAAAACACCTCCAGTAATATTTTGTTGAACAGAATGCAAAATTTTATCATTAACTAAAAAGAAAATAACAGCTATTTATAAAAAAAGACACTAAAAATCATATTAACTTAGATACCAAGTGGTCATTAGGCCCATTACCCTGATGAGAACAAGATACCTGAGAAATACGACGATACTTTGAGAAATGCGACGATACTTATCACGGAGCGCGTAAGATGCAGTAAACAGCCCAGCGAGAAGTTATAAAAGCCCGTGTCTGAGGGTCGCTTGGGCAGTGCTCAGTATGGCGGGTTATAGGAAGGACGTTCGCGTGTCGGTGATTGTGGTGGTAGTGGTTTGTGGTGTACTTCAGGAGACACGTGCTGCCATCTTCTCCTCCAAAGGTGTTGAGGTGAGGAAGTGAGTGTGTAAAGTTGTATAGACGAATGAGAGACTTATTTACTTAGACACTTTGCTGTATGTTAATGAACTCAAAATACAAGTGTAAAATTATCCTCATACACTCCCGCGTGCGATATACACATCATTCATACAAGCTTCCTGCTGTATATATGTATAGTGTATGTCAAGGTGTATAAGAATAAATACATGTCTAATTAATCCGTAAAAAGGCCAACTTATTTTTTTTTACAATCAGTGATTTTTTATTGTTTTAGTTTATTGGAAATTAGTTCATGTATGGTAGAATGTGTCTGGTTTTAATTCCTATCGTTGTTTTGAATTGAAACAGTTTATTTAGCCAGAAAAACACAGATACAGAGTGGATAATATTAACAATATTAACATGGCTGAGCCAGTTGAGAACCTGAGCTCTCCTGCAGGCACCTGATATATACTATACATTTATCTCAAGGAAGTATTATGTAACATTTAGTATCATCTGGAATAGTACAATAGCATGGTGGTAATAAGAACATCTCATAATGTTACCGCGGTTATCACTTCAATATTTATTTATTTTATTTATTTATTATTTTTTATGATAAGTATATACATAAATTACAGTGGAATTGAAAAACATAAGTATAATGGGGGAGCAGTACAACATGGGTTGTATTAAGGTTGAACAAGAGGACAGAGCTGTCAGGATTATGTCTAGTTGGCAAATATATTTATTGCAATGGTAATTTCCGATAAAACGGTTTTGATGGTACAATAAAAGCAGGTAAATATACTGTAGTAGGTGTTACAAGAAATATTAATTCTTAAACAACAGATATTTTTCAAGAGATGATTTAAAGGAAGGGAGCGTAGTCTTTGCTATCGGATGGGTGGGGGTAAGTTGTTCCACACCTTCACACCGTGATATTTTATGGAGGTCTGGGACTGAGAGGAGCGCATGGGGGGTGGTCTTAGTAGCTCTGGGTGCCTTAAGTTGTGTCATAAGCGTGTCCTGGGTTTAGTCCCCGTTTCGAGATGGATTTGAGAAGGGTGTTATCCAGTGTGACCCGACCTGACCCTACCCTACTTTACCCTTCCCTACCTTACCCTACCTTACCCTACCCTACCTTACCTTACCCTTCCCTACCTTACCTTACTCTTCCCTACCTTACCCTTCCCTTCCCTTCCCTACCTTACACTACGACTCCTGTTGTCTCGGTAGGGTTGTCAAAATCCTTCGTCCATTGTGTCATAATTGTCTCAACACAATTTTGTATGGATAGTTTTTGGAGTGACTGTACACGACCAAATCTGTACCTAAAGTTATCCGGGTCGCGTATTTGGTTAGTACCGTTAGTGGATGACGTTGGTGTTCGTATAAATTGTAACATCATTATTACACAACTATATCCTAGAAGTGGTGTAAGTGTGTGTGTGTGTGGGTTTGTGGGTTTGAAAAGTCTTAGGAGGGAGTTGAAGTTATTAGTAGTTAGTTTAGGGTCTGTCTCCTCCCTCGCATCTTCCCCCCCTCCCCTGGTCATTATACCCTGAGGGGAGAGGGAGGGGCATTGGAATGAGCATACAGCTAGTAATCTGTTGGGTAACTACTCATTAGTATACGTCTGGTGCCCCGCCTACCCCAACCTCCTGCCCACCACAACCTCAGCCCCCTGCCCACCTCAGCCCCCCTCGATACCATTCCCATCCGGCAAAGTCTTCATAAACACTAAAGATCGGATCCTTGAGTTAGAACCTTCTCTCTATAAATAGT